CCTGCTCACACTTCCTGTGAAAATGCAACTCAAATGGGCTTTCTCTTGCTATTTCAGCCGTTTTAGAATTACACAGCCTAGGCCCCAGATCTAATTTTCCTGCTGCAGAAGTTAAGGCACTTCCTCCACAGTTACTAAATCTGACAAATTACACCTGGGTCTACTCTAACATGAAAAAGTGTGCTCTTTGTTCCTGACCCTTTGGTCAGCACAGAGATCAAATTCCTGCACATCAGAAAGCCCCACTCATATTCATTAAAAGCCATGGGAGACCAGCTATGCATTTCTGTTGAAGAGGGGAAAGAGGCACAGGCCGTGGTGGAACCACACGACTGCTCTGCTTCAGTCAAGCCATATAGACTCTTTTTCCTTTTTGCAGTTTGGCTGCTGATTAGTTAGTACCGGGATTCCCCCCGCCCCACCTTTTTCTATACAGCATCTGAGTAACAAAAGAGCACTGAAAACGGCGAAAAAAAAATTAAAAAAAGAAGGGGCTAGTTGATGTTTAAATGCCAAGTTCCAGGAGTGAGTTTACTGAAACCTGCTTGCATTAAAACGCGGGCTCCACAGATCAGTAACCAAAAATACAAAAAGGATTCTAAAATTCCGGTGCCCCTCTTCCCTGGCCAGACAAGCAGTTAGTTACCACAGGGGCCAATATTTGACAGATTAGAGTGAGTGTTGTCTCCTCCTCCCAACCACACTCAGCCTTTGGAAAAGGCATTCCAGAGCTGAGAGTGACCGAGAAAAGGAAATCAGGAACCATCCTGGCAGCAAAGAATCAACATGAGGGATACAAGAAACCCACACGCTTTCCCGTTGTGATAGCTAAGTCCTAGGTGGATGTAACTGCCTCGCAACACAAGGCCCTCTTTTTCTGTCCCCCCAAAGAGGGAGGGAAGCTCATAACAGGAGAATTTGAGAAAAGGTGTAGTTGAACTGCTACTTCCAAAGATGACAACACATTATGCCCAATTCCTTTCTTTAAGATTTTTGGAATAACCAAATGGTGAAGGAAAATACAGTGGTATTCATCATTAATTTTTTTCAGAGCTCCTGAGGAGGGCCAAACCTGATGAGAACCGAACCGTGAGGCATTTTCTGTTGTGGGACAGTGTGGTGACTCATGAGTGTTAGCACGTGGAGTGAGTCCCAAGCATGTGCTGAGTGCTGAAACATTTTTTTCTTGTCAAAAATGTAACAAGTACAGAGTCTGACGAGCTCTGAAGCTGATGAGTCCTAGGTATGACTATATATAGAAGCCACAGACCCTGCCATAAGGCCTCTTGAGGCAGGGGTGTTCCCAGGAATCTGTCAACTCCTGTCCTCCTTCTAGGAGAGCACCTTTCATCCAGGACAAGCCATCCCACTTACAACGTCTTCAGTGCAGGCCACTGAATTTTCCCAGGCCTATCAAACAACATCCAAATCCTCTCCCTAGGAGATCTAAGAAGTACCACAGTGCATGTCAGTTGTGAACACACATGAATGCTCTGGAGTGTTGTCGGTCACTTTCCACATATAAATTCCTGCTAAATTGTAAATCAGGCGATATGCTTTCATCTTCCCTGACCTTCAGGAAGCTTTCGGCTCTGCTATAAGTTACAAACATGTAACAGATACCCTTTTCTAGGACACCAAGTCACAATCCATTTTTTAGATACATGAGTCATTGCTAGCTTCCTGGTCAGATAGCAATTACTTTTGAGAAACTTATGAGAGGATGGAAATCCTTAGTATTAACATTCTTACTTGATGTGTTTTTAGATTAAAACCACTAGCACTATCAGCAAATCAGAACTTAGTTTTTCCTCCAAAAAGTCATTAGAAAAGCATCTAACTCAAATCAGTTTACAGTATTTTGGGGTTGCCATGTCTAATAGGTTACTAAGCAGGCTTTCACCTATGAGCAAAACTCAGGAACGGAAAAACCTAACTTCTGAAGGAAGAAAAGTGGTAACTGGGCTTCCAGTTAAATTCTTAATAGTGAAAGTGGTTAAAAATTGTATGAGACATGAAAATAATCAAGCATGCCCCCAAGATCTTGATCTTGACCTTGCCTCTGTTTTTACCAATAGAGAAGTTGAGTGAGTCAGCTGGTATCAACCAATCAATAGAAGCTGAACTAGGGCTAGAACCCACCCCATCTGACTCCTAGTGCAACAGTCTTTGTATGAAGTGGACAAAAGTTTACAGTAGACTGGAAACACCAACCCCACTCTATCAGTAATACCTACCACTTATCGAACGCTCACTGGATGCCAGGAAGTGTTCTGCGTGCTGCGGATGCATTAACTCATATATCCTCCTAACAACCATGTGAGGGAAGTAATGTTGCTATCGCCCACTTTAGAGATGAGAAAGCAGACACGTGGGGGTGTTTGGAAACTCGCCCCAGGTCCTGGGGCTGAATAAGTGGGAGATCTAGGAGAATCTGTCCTCCCTGCACAGAAATGTGCATGTAGGCGCTCCTAAATCAAGCTTCAGATTATCAGCAGTGCTGGGAATATTAATTTTAACAAAACATCTTCATAGTAAGATCCAAACTACTGATGCCTCCAAAATATAGGATGAGTCTGAAACTTCCTTTCTGTCAACCTCTGCATTTTTATTCAAAAGACAAAGTAGTAACAATTCCTATGGATGAGACAAATTCCACATAACCATCTCCCTGGTTGTAAAGTGATGCTAGGCAGGAAGTAGTTCAGACATCCTGGAAATCCCAGCAAATTACATATAAAACAACCTCAGGAAAACACTTCAGATGGCTAAGGGTGTCTATCTTCTTGACTTTACCATCTTTTCCAACATTAAAATAAAGTTTTTTAATGATATAAATCCAGTTCAGACATAAACTTCGTCCCAAGTTTGTACCATCACCAAAATAAAATTATCCCCCATCGCATCACATATTTGAATTACTCTGTTTTTTGTTTGTTTGTTTAATTTCTTGAGATGCTGCCAGATCTGCCCCAGGACCCAAAAATCATTCCCTCATTCATCACAGCCGTAATCTGATTTAGCTAAACCAGACCCTAAGCAGGTTTGAATCTGCTCCGACAACAGAGGAGGTTTGTTTGCTGTCATCATTTCGGCAACTACCGATCCAGGGGTCTCAGAAAGTCCTGTTTGTTCAGGAATAACCTTCCATCTTCAGTGCCCTTTGAAGATTTTTAAAAAATCATCTGAGGTTAGTGAAAAAATAGCACCACATGACTTCTCTGTCAGTCAGAGGTCATTGCTCAGCTCGTAGACAGTCATTAAGGAGGAAGCTGGGCGACAGCTGGGACAGCTCCCTCTCCCCCCCTCTTTATCCAGAAATCGTAACATCAACAGCTAACACTACCCTGGGGTCCTTTTTCAGATTCCTGTTTGATAAGACTAATTTCTACTCTTTCTTCTCTTTTCCCTTTACCACCTTCTCACATATTAAAAAAATGAACTGATGCAGGTCACTACAGCTGGAAACATCCGCTGCAGATAATACACGCCAATGACCACACCTTGACCGCTGCCACCTCAGCCACACCGTGAGCTCTGCTGTCAGACTCAAATGAGGCTGCTACCATTTAGTCTCTGATTCTTGAGCAGTCACTGAGCCTTTCTGTGCCTGAGGTTTCTCATCCGCCAAATAAGAATCATAATAGTGCCCATCTCTTAAAGGTATTTAAAACAAATCAGATGATAGAGATAGAAGATTCAGAATAGTGCCTGGCACATACAGTAAGAACTCGATTAAGAGTTCACAATCATTGTCAGGTTGATTTTAACATGAGTATACTTCCTGTATCCGCTCATCAGTCCTTGAAATGTCAAGTAAAATAGAAAATGTTTTAACTTTCTATTCTATAGAGGACAAAGCAAACTGTGGAATGGGGTGGCCAATCTGAACGTACACTGTTCTATTCCAGCCTCCATCTGCAACTCCTGGGGTGGGACTGGACTGCCTCTCCAGGTTGGGTAAGTAAAAGTTAATTGTTCCGCTCTATATGCACACAGAGCTCTTGAAAAGTAAATAAATAATAAAAATCCAAGCCTTCTTTGACACTGACCTTCTGATCTAACACTCCCATTTTGAAGATGAAAAAAATAACTGGCTCTGAAGGCTCAAGTTCACATAAATACGTCGGCAGATCCAAGGCCAGAAAATTACTATCCTAAGTAAACCATCAAGTAGGTATTCCTCTAAATCCACAGCAAATGTCACTTAATTTAATCCTCATGAAACCCCTCTAAAGGATGTATTATTTTCACCCCTTTGGGGATGCAGAAACTGGGGCTCAACCTCTGTGAATTAGGTTCTTCAAAACAAGACAACAGACAACTGATCGAGCCAAGGTCAAAATACTTCTTGTCTGGCACTAGAGAACATGCACCTGCTTCAAGTTTTGTAGATCTCAGGGCTCAGAACTCTAGTCCTGAGCTCTCAACCCATGACTTCCAAACTGTCTGGGCATCAGCCTTCTCTGGGGAGCTTTGAAAAATACAGATGACTGGGCTCCACTTCAGGGAGGAGGATCAGAGTCTCGACGGGCCAGGCTTCAAACATCTGTATTTCTTCAGTTAGCGATTCTGATGTGTAGTAAGATTCAAGAAACCCTCATCTAAGCAAAATATTCCATGACAGCTTCCAGTATAAAGGGAAATGAGTGACCGAAGGCCGAGGGGACGTCCAGAGCAGCAGAACCCATGTGGAAAGGAGCAATGGTGACCTTCCCCAAATCCCTCTGTGTCTCACAGACACACGCGAAGCCCCACCCTTATCTGCCAAAGCCCTGTTCCTGTCAATCTTGCCTAAAGACCTCTGCACCACAACGAAAGCAATCAACACAGCCCTTTGCAGCAGGGCCAGACTCTGTGTTCTGTCGGGAATACAGCAATAAGGTTTCTTTCCAGCTTATCCTTTTCCTTTAAAGCACCCAAGTTGGCACCCCACTTTCTGAAGGCTGAGCAGGTGAGAAAAAAAAATGGAGGGCGAGGCTGTTCAAACACACACTTACCAAGGTGCACCGTATATCCTGAATCCCTTCACAGTTACCTCCGAGTCTTGTAAGTAAATACTGTTTGTCAGGAGGGACTGAACGTTGTCAAAGTCCTCTGGTTTCAATTTGGACACAGAGGGGAAACGGTAGTAGTCCTGTTTTACAAGGTCTGCCATGAATTCCTTATCAAATGTCAGTTCATGATTCCCAGCAATCACTATTTTATATTCATATGGCAGGTTTCCTGAAATAAGAAAAAAAGAGCACCAATTAGCACGTTCATTTCCCATCATGAAGTACAACAGCCGAGACTGCGTGATTAACAGACGGCATACCCAAATGAAATACCTCGTGCGTTCCTTTATATTTCCATGGGAACCAAAATTTATGACTACTCCTTTATGCTAACAAAAATGACAATAAATGGGAGATGGGAAGCTGCTAAGAAGCTAAAAAGCTACTAAGAAGACATTAAGTTTTCTGGTTCCATTTCCCTCTTCTGTATGCTACAGAGTCACTGTGATGAATTCAGCAGAAAGCACTTTAATCACATTCCTTACAAAAAGGTCTGGACTTGGTTTGGTCCTCGAAAAACAAGCAGATGACATCGTAGGGTATATAAACGTAGAATCACTCTGCTGTTTGCCTGAAACTAACATAAATTGTACGTCAACTATACTTTAATAAAAAAATAAGCAAACCAACTATTCTTAACAACTCAGAAAACTGCTAGATTTTCAGCATATCCTTCATATAAAAGATGTGGATCAGCCAAGCATTCCACAATTTACATAAGTAAAAGGAACTACATAGTACAATTTCTTATTGTAAGTTAAAGTTTATGTTTTGGTTTGAGGATAAAAAGAACATTAATAGTGCCTCCTCCTGCCCCCCAAAACCCCCCATTAGAAGGCTAACTTTCCACCCATTGGGAATGGGAGAAGAAACTGTAAAGCTTAACCCCCTTTTAATATTTATAGTATGGAAATGTGAGCTCTTGGTGTGCGCTTTTTATGCAAAAGTTTCCCGATCGAAATGAGATAATTCTGGGAAGAAGAATGAAAGCTATAAAGGAAAACCCAAACACCAGACTTCTGCATAGATTTATAATGTTTGAATAAAGTACAGATCATACATATTAATAACTCACCGTGATGCTCTAAGAACCAAAATCCAAAGGGAGATAGTGCTGGGCAGCTGTCCCCGTCCTGAAATTAATGCCCTTTCTATTCGCTTTCATTACCCATCCCTCAAGCCTCACCGCTGGGCTGTTGCTCATTTCATTTCATTTCATTTCATTTTGAAAGGAAAAAGGGTGGGACAATAATGCCTATAATTCCAGCTTTCTGAGACTCCTGGGTCCAACGAAAAATTAATGTTTCCTGCTATTCCAGGAAGAATGAAAGTTACCACTAGCAGGAAATTGGATACACTTGTTGTAAAGAATTGGTCCTTACCAGCAAGTCTGAGTCAATGATATAATTAATGAAGCTTAGTGGGGGAGAGAGTTGTATCTTCTTCTTCTTTTTTTTTTTTTTTTTTTAGTGGGGAGCAAACTTTGTCATGGGTCCACTTGCATTTCAGCAATGCAAACTGTAGCAATTACACCGTGAAGTCCCCAATAATCCCAGCAGCACAGGGCAAACATTTCTTCTAATACTGAAGCGATTTTTAAGATTGCCAGAATATGCTTTGTAATGCTACTGGTTTTTCTTTAGCTTCCACTTTATGTTTCTAACAGTAATAAAATTGCATATATAGCATGTGAGGTTATGGGGAGACTAAAGAGAGAGATGAAAGCAGTCAGGAAATAACACTGTAGAAGATGAAACTGAAAACACTGCGGCCAACTGTTGGTGGGTATCCTTGACTACTTAGCCCACGGTGCTGTGAATGCCTTTGGCCTCAGTTTTTTGCAAGGAGGACAGCTTATGGAAAATAGGAAGCCTCTCTCAAGTGCATTTTTATGGGAGTTTATAACCTACACTAGCATAAGGCAATAAGAAGTGCAATGCATATTGCAATCTACTTGGATCGAATGAATATATTTTTCACTATTCCTTGCCCTTAAAATACAGATGAAAGATATATTAACAGGTTGCAAATTCCCAGCACTGCACATACTGGAAATCTGTGAGATGCCCCACAACTCTAATATCATGGCTCTGTGACCCCACTGGCCTAATATCACATCCCCCGATTCACCTGTGTTGCCGAGGTTGGACTGTTTTCCTGGACAGTAATTTGTTCCAAGACAGGTCCTACTGGCATGAATCTTTGAGCAACTCTATTTGTACAATTCACGCTGTAGCTGCCCGGTTCCCCTTTAATCATTCATGATGATGGACTCACTGTAAACCCTTTCTTCATGCACCACTGCTCTTGCAAGAAGGGTTGGCTTCTCGCTTTTTCCATTTTAGAGCTTTGGTGCAGGGATGGCATGGGTGAGATTGGGAGACAAGACAAAAGGAGCTACATGTTTGCCTTTCAGACCAGTTTGGGGGAAAAAAAAGTAAAACTGCTGCAAAGTAAATCTTTCTCAGGAAGACAGGACTCCTCAGTGTCTTTTAAATCAAATTGGGAGACTCGACATAAAGGAGTAGCCACCAAAATGAACAGCCGCAGAAAGTGATGAAATTTACACATTGCCAACAAACTCATCTCTTTCTGAGAATCCAATAGTAGTTTCAACTTCCATTCTCTGTTACCTATGTTATGAGATTGTCTGACATATATTCTTTTTTTGCTGAACTGACCTTTCATCTATAATCTGCCAACCTTTATGTTTTATATGAAAAGTGTAAGCAGGGCAGCTGACAAATCTGTTACTTGACAGCATTCTAGTTTCCTTCCATACCAGATTAATTTGGAAGGCTCTGCAGTCAAGCTCCAAACTTCTTGGTATTCAAATAGCATCAAACAAAAAGGTGCCTGCTTTTTATCTCTTTTATTCAGACCAACCCATAGAAGCGGACCTGCATGAATAAAAAAAAAAAAAAAAAGGCCACATCCAGTTATTCTAACATGGAAAAAAAAATGCTTGCTTTGAATGACCTAAAGAACTCTATAGCTAACCAGTCGCACCTTTCCCAAGACATGATACATGTTCTACTTGTGATATAGAAAATTATTTTAGGTAGAAGGGAGATGAACTTTTGGCAAAATGTCAAATAGTTTTTTGTATATTTTAAAAACGCTATTTGAAAAAATACAATATAACAGTACAAATAATACGTCAGTTCATTTTTCTATTTTTATCGAGGGTGGAGCAAAAGTAGGTTTAGAGTTGTTTGTATGGAAAATGATAAAGTAACTAATAAATGATAATACAAGAATGAACTCTACGTTTCATGTACTCACAACTGTGAACCCACTTTTGCCCCACCTGACAGATGAAATGAAATAATTTAAAGAAAACTACTGGACAAATAATAGTACAGATAATTCACAGATATGATGGTGGGAGCAAGTGAGAATAAAATGTGGGAAAGCAGTCCACTTCCCGTTTGGGTTTGAGCTATGGACCACCGTGAAGCCACAAACTTTAGGCATTGAAATTAAGTCTCCTTCTAATCTGTATCTTCTACTATACCTGTATCGCCTGGTGGTATCACATACATAGATGCTCACTTCAAAGTAAAGGGTAGTGCAAGTCAGCTGGGTCCTCGCCGCTCCTCTGCAGTTCTAACTGTCCCACATTCTTGCTGCTGCCTGTTCCCTAAGTAGTCACCACAAAACTCTCCCCAACTCCTCTCTAGCTGCCAGGCTGCCTTTTTTTTTCTTTTTTCTTTATAAAGCCTCACCCAAGCACATGCTTACAGAGAGGGAAAGGGGGAGAGAGAGAGAGAGAGAGACATCGATGTGAGAAACATAGATTGGTTGCCTCTCATCCATGCCCTGACTGGGGACTTAAACCACAACCTAGGTATATTGCCCTGACTGGGAATCAAACCCGCAACCTTTCAGTTTACCAGACATGCTCCAACCAACGGAGCCACACCGGCCAGGGCCAAGCTCCTTCTGACTTCCCACTTGGCGAACAATGTGTCCTCTAACCTCAAGGTAGGCTCCCTTTACTTCCTCCTTTTAGCTTTCCTATCATTCTGTTTGCATCGCCTCATCTTTTTAATAATTGGCCTCTTAATCCCATTCCTCCCACTCCCACTGGCGCGTTCCTTTTCCAGACAGCTCTCTGATTATTTTGGATCTCTCTCTCTCTCTAAACCTCCTCCTTAGTGAGTTTATGTTTACCCATCCCAAGAAAACAAAAACCAAGCAGCCCTTGACACACACACACACACACACACACACACACATGCCTCACATAAAATCCTAAACCATTCCTAACTTGGCTGTTACTTTGGGATGCTTTCCTCATTTCATGTCTATACTTCTGGATGGAGAATTCCAGCAGCTAGCATAGCACCTGGCAGCCCAAATTCAGCCCACAGATATATTATAGTTGGCCCTCAACTGTGTTTCATTTTTTAAAAACTGAACTAATATTTAAAAATCAGGAGTTCTAGCTTATTTTGGAAAAGTAAAAGTTCAGGTGACACTGACCTTCAGTCTGCCACAGGCCTCCCCACTTTCTATTACTTCTCACATCAGTCCTGTTCCTCAGGTTTGTGTTGCCTGACGGACCACTCGCTCTATCACTAGAATTAGCAACTTAGAGATGAATGGTCACTCAGGATTTACGGAACAAAATCTGGCTTCTGTTTCTACTCTCTTCCAAAAGCTTATCCTGGAATGTCGATAATACTCTCCTAATAGCCAAAGCCAAGACTTTGTTCTCAATTCTTACCTCCATTGATCACACGCAGCACAGCGCACCCCGTCCCTCAAAGCATCAATTCCCCTGATTAGGGATGTTGCATTCTCATTCCCCTCCTCCCCCTCTGAAGTTTCCTTGCCTCTCTCTTCTTCCTCTGCTCCCTTTGCCTCCCAGCTGATTCATTACACTCTCCCTCTTCATCTTCTATGGGTATTAGTTAACATTTTCTTATTGTACGTCTCACATTTCTATTCTTTATGATTCAATTTTTAAAAGACCAGAATTTAAACCACAGAGGCAGCATGGGGCTTGGTGCGGGGACTCCTGGCCTTGCCAAGTGTTAGCTGCATAACCTTGGGTGCAGCTAAGTTTATGGCTTCACTGTGGCCTATAGCTCCTTATGTTCTCTAAGGTGCACTAGCAAACGTGGGTAATAACTGCACCTTTCCCTCGTAGGTTATTTTTAA